AAAAAACCGTCTTCAACCCACTTGCTCATGATACAATTGCCATTGTTCCCTTTCAAGAAATGACTGCAACATAACATTGTTGTCATAAACGGGAGCCTTTAGCGTCAAATGATAGCGAACAAGATCAGATATAGACTAAAATTAGTATGACTATATAATGGTTTGAGAAAGCCTTTAGCTCATCTTACTGTGAAGCAAAAACCTCGCAACCAGTATAACTTTTGTGGGAAGATCTCTTGAATGTGCAAATGCAGTACTCTATCCGGACTTATACGTAGCGACAAAATGTAGCCCTAAGGAATATGTTTAAAAATTATTCTTACTTTTGCAACTAGGATTACCAGACCTCAACATTTCTCACATAAGCCTTGCGTACGAGAAACTCTCCAATTTTCGTGAGAACTTTTTCTGTCTCTTTTCTTTCCATGTAGCCATGATAAAAGGGCTCATCTTCAAGAGGGGTGCCGGTTGAACCATAGAATTCCGTCACCTGAAGTGTTGTGATCATATGGACTTTTTTGTGATAAGGTATGCTGAAGAAACCTCACTTTATTCTACAAACGCTAACAGCTCAGGCAGTGTTCACCAGTGCACATCAAGTCATTATCAAAATCTAAGAAAAACCAACCTTTTTTAATTCATTTATCACTGCTGCAGGCGCTTTCCGTGTGTCCTAAATTTCTGATTATGGGACAGTACCGGTTATCTTTTTCAAGCAGTTCGGTGAGGTTGCCATAAAGTTTTAATTCTAGCTTTTCTTTAGTCAGCTATTGCATGAGCTCCAATTTGGTGTTTAATTACAGAGGTTATTTTATCTCGAAAGTGATCAGGAGCAGCTTCTTTAAACAACGAAACCCATAAAACCAAAAGTCACGTGCTCACCGGTATTGCATGCATTAATTGATTACTTGCAGTAGGAATTCAAAACTTTTGTGCAAGTTTGGTATAAGCAGTAAAATCACTGTTGGCCAACTCAGGCCACTTTATAACCAGCTGTTTAGCTTTAATCCTCCTCCCTCTAGGGGTAGGACTTACGTGGCATAGTCCTAAATTGAGCCAAAAGTCTTGGAACAATCTGCTTAAACTTTCAAGATTGTAGTGGGTTTTGCAATTCCCATACAACACATGAGGGCAGTGCCTGTGTTTATTCAAAAAATTTAAAAATATTCTAATCTTCACTGTCAATTAAAGGTCTAGTAGAAGATTCTGAGTTTAAGAAGGTTTGAAAGAGATTTGTAAGTAAAAGTTGAATTTTGCACGAAAAATAAGCGCAAGCTCCAGCATTAGTTGTCAGTGACTTTCCGTGTGTGGAATCGCCCTGAATAAGCTGAAAGCTGATTTCTTGGAAGCTAGGTAGCTCTTTGCAGAAGGAAGAGTTGACTCATCAATGAATTTCTTATAGCGGCACCGATGTGGCAGTGGAGGACAAAGTTGCAAAACCGTAGTACTTGGTTGACACACTTCATCAGAAACAGGGAAAATGCAACAATTTTTACCTCTCTAGGACAACATGCTCCTTATGTTAGGATCAGAGCAATTTCAAGCAACATCTCGAGAGAACTTGATAATCAACAACAACTCGAAAACGAAATCGCTCGCTTTTTTTCGACTCGTAGTCAGCCGCTACCTACAGAAGGGCTGTCAAGAAACCGCTTAGGCGTTAACAACAGGTAGTCAACAAGAAGGCAGGGGTATATTTGGAGTTTCTCAGTAGAACAAGAAAATCTCTGAAAAGTACTAGTCGCAAGATTTACTTTTTGACTGATGTAATCATACGCTTTTCTGAATGTGTTTCCGCCTTTTTTTCTAAACAGAAATAGTTACCAGAGGATCTCCGCCCAAAGAAATAAACTTCTTAATCCTTACTCATCTCATTACTTAATAACCCAAAACTTAGTCACCTCTTCTTTTAGGACGATTTTAGGACGATTTGATGCTGATCATGACAAAGCGCGCTATAATCACAAAAGCAAAATGGTGCTAATATCCTCAAGTTAGATTAGGTATAGTTCGTAAGTAGCAGGACAGGGAAACGCCTTATTTCTTACCTTGGCGCTTTTCACCAAGTTATTGCGTCAGGTAGACTCACATCAAAGCCTGCCACGATAGTTTACAACAGAATAAAGGATAATCTAAGATGCCTAGCATACTGAGCTCTTATAAGTCGTATATTAGAATTTTCGTCGCAAATCAGTCGTTTTCCCTTTTCAAGCCTGGAAGATCGCAAGGCACAGGCAAGCAGGAATTTGGTGATAGACTGCTACTTACCACACTTGATGCGCTTTTTTCATCTTTCGCAGGAGCAGACGCGGAACCGGCGCCTGT